AAATTTGAAACAATACTTAAAATAAAATACGGACAAAAACCAGTGGTTCATATTTGTATAGATGCATATAACAACTTGACTTCCATTACATGCCAGATTTTACACTATTCGTTGGTTATGATTTTCGAATCAATTAACTAATAGTCAACGGTTTTCCAGCTATTTATGAGTACTTTTTCAGCAATTTTAGAAATATTACTCTTGCTCCTTCATAATACTTATCTACTTATACATCGTTAATATAATCATAGCAGTTTTGCGAAAAAATTGGCATATTCCTATTCACTGTCCTGATTTTAATCTTGCCTAATATCATATTTAGCAGCTTTGCAGTCTCTTGCTTTTAGAATAAAAATTTTTATTAATAAACGAATGTTCAGAAAATTGAATGATCTTTCAAAATTTTAGACTTGAAATCGTAGTTTTGAACATATGAATATTAACTTTTTTAAAAAAATATCTATACACATATTCACTTTGAAATGTTTTATACATATAAAAAAATCAGATGAAGTTTTTATCATAAGGAAATAAAATTTGATATCATTTTTTTATAAATATATCCAAAATCCCAAAAATGGCTCTGTCAAGTTAATTATTAAAATTCATAGATTCGAATTTTTAATGAATAATTGATTCATTGTTCATATTGAAGGACTACATAGTTTTTCAATTTTTCTTGATTAACGGACTATTTGTAGATCTATGTAGTCATTCAATTTTTGATGAATGAAATTATAAAGCAGCATTATTCTTTTTACTCACAAAGAAGTTTAATCTGACAGAGAGATTTTTTTTTTTATTCTATTTTAAAAAAAGTTTTTTATTAATCAATTTTAATTCATTTGTAACAAAATTTCAAAGCGCTTTAAAAAAACATGTATTTATAATAGATAACTTTTATATGAATACTTATATTAAAAATTTGATTTTATAATATTTTTTCATATAAATAAATAAAATATTGCATGATCACATCTTGCTTATATTATCTTCATTTTCCAGAAAATTATAATTTTGATTCTTTTACAATCTATTTTTATTTTATTGAAATAACATCTGGATATATGGATATTTAAACAATTCTATATTTAATTTTTAATGAGATATTCTCATTTGAAAAATGAATAATTCAATTTTTTTTTCAAATAATTCCTTTTTTATTTATTCAAAAAAGCAATTATTAATTCAATTAATGTTTTATAAATATACAATAATAAAAAATTGTTTTTTATTTAATAACATAATATTTTATGTTTAAAAAAATCACAATCATTGATTATATAATATAATAGTTATATACTACTTATTTATCCAGATATTAGTGTTCATACTCCACCCTTAAATAATAGCAAATTTTGAATAGAAATAAATTGAAAGATAAAAATAATTAATTGAAATTTCAATAAAATAAAATTATTTTTTTCTAATATTTTATCTCAATTTTTATTTTCACTTCACTCAGAAAAATTGTGAGCAAAATTGCCAGTAAATTCTTGTAAAAGTAATGCTTGTTTATGATTCAGGTTTTTTTCGAGTTCTTTTAGTAATTTAAAAAAAAAAAATTTATCTTTATTATTCAAGAGAGATTGTACCTCAGCTTTTTGAGAGAACTAATAGAAAAAAATAAGAAGAAAATGTAGAATAATATTTACTGAGACTATTCATGTTAAAAAAAAAATGTATCTTTTTATGTTACAAAATTTTTACCGATCCTTCCTTTTGATGTAAGTCTCGGTAAAAATTTTATAATATGAATTAACGTTAACTTGTTCGTTTTTTCAATTTTATCTTAACTTTGAAAGCTTCGTTGACGGTAGTTCATTTCGTTGACCTTAACGGGCTCAACGTCGTTGATCGTTGACTGTCAATGAACGAGTGATTTAAATAAGTATCAAAATCACTATGATGACATGGTACCAATACTCCATATAATACAAACTTTTTCTAAAAGCAAATTCGTTATTAAAATTGCAAAAAAAAAATTGAGCAATGAAAACAAAAAAAGAAGGAGATGCTTTATCTGAAGAAGAGCTTCTTGCAATTTTTGAAGCTAAGTGTAAAGATTTTGATCTTCGGCCAACAGAAAAATTATATACTCGATTTAAAAAGACCAGAGGTGACAAAGCCAGGCTTAAAGTTTTTGAAATGGAAAACAACTCACTTGGCCCTTATTCAGCCCAAATTCTCACAAATATAGCTTTTGTACATCAAAATTTTAAAATATTATGCTTTGGTGGTAATAACTTTGGTGATAAAGGAGCACTTGCATTTTCAGAATTAATAAAAGCAACAAAGTCAGTTATTTCACTTGATTTATCATCCAATTCTTTTACAGATGTAGGATTTCAAATTATATTTAATGCCATGTCTTATAATACATCAATTGTTGACTTAAATGTTGGCAGTCGCAATGGTATCACACGAAATAAAATTGGTCCATTAGGAATCAAACAGTTATCTATATTATTATCCAAGAATCGAATCTTAGCGTCACTTGATTTATCGATGACAGAACTCTCATCGGAAAATATAACGCCTCTTGCTGAGAGTTTATCGAAAAATCATACACTTGGTACGCTCAATTTATCAAATAATAATGTCAGATCGAAAGGGACAGCAATTCTATTATCAAATCTAAAATCAAGTTCAATAGTAGATTTAATTTTATCTAATAATCATCTTACAGATGAAATATCGCCGCATGTTTCAAGTTTTATAACAGAAAGTAGCACATTGAAAAAGTTAGATCTTTCATCAAACAATTTAACGCAACGGTTTACAACCTCCCTTTCAGCTCCACTATCAAAACCGACCTGCCATCTTCAAGAACTCAATTTGTCACGTAATGCAATTGGCGGCCGTGGCATATCGTCTCTTGGCCATGGAATTCAATCGAACACTTCACTTCACCGACTAGATGTATCGGCGTGCAAGATCCAACAAGCTGGCTTTATTGAATTTTGTGACCAATTCATAAATAACGAGTTTCTTGTATCTTTAACGATCCATCACAATCCAATTCGTGATGACGGAGTGACTTCCCTCGCCCACGTGATAGAAAAACATCCCTCTTTGAAGGAATTAGATTTAGAGCTTTGTGAGATAAGTGACAAAGGATGCACTGAACTTTTTAAAGCTGCTAGCAAGTCACCGTCACTTGTTAAAATTTCAGTTAAAAATAATTTAATTAGAGACGGATTAAGCATTCAAAAAGCTGTAATGGAAAATTCAAAATTATTGAATGTGAACATTGAATATAACGATATTGAATTCAATGTGTACTCTGAAATTCAGAGAAATTTACAAAATAATAAAAAATTAAGGATCTTGGCCGTACAGCCAAAGGCAGACGACGCAGCCCAAGTTGTTCATTTCGATACAGAGCTAGCTGACGTCCGATCTGATATTCGGCTCGAAAGAATCCTCATCGAAGATCTTAAAGAACAACTCGCCCAAAAAAAGCAGGAAGAGCAAGAAGCAATAGACTCAAGCAATAAAACAACACAAAGACTCGAAACAAAACTTGACGAAGTTGCGCAAACTGTAAATGATGCATTATATGAATTACGTAATCAGAGAGAACAACTTCAAAAGAGGAAACAAGATGTTGAACTTGAAGTTACAAATCTCAGCAATCGTCTAGCGAGAGAATCAGAAGATTATCGCTTAGATGTCAGAAATTTTAATAATTTATCTAAAAAAATCGAGCAACTTGAAGAAGCTCAAGAAAAAGAAATGAAAGATCTAGAAGATAAATTAAAAGACGCAAAATTATTATATGCAGATAATCGAAGATTGCTTGAAACTGCATTTCAATTTGCAAAAATGAAACCAGAAGTCGAAGTTGAAGTTCCAGACAGCAATGAAACAGAGAAAGATAATGACAAGAAAAAGAAGAAAGGTAAAAGCAAAAGTAAAGCCAAAAATAAAGAAAAAACCAAAAATCAAGATCAAGAAAAAAGCTCAGAAAAAGTTCAAGATAAAAGTACAGAAAAAGATCATGATAAAAGTACAGAAAAAGATCATGATAAAAGTACAGAAAAAGATCATGATACAGACGAAGATGCAAGTAAGGAGAAACCTAAAGCAAAGTCGAAAGCAAAGGCCAAGAAAGAATCAACGTCACAAAAGACAACTGCAGCAAAGAAAAGTGAAAACTCAAAAGGTGCTGCAAGTAATAAAAAGTCTAAGAAATCAGAGCCACTTGAAAATGCTCCAGCTGCAGCATCTGGCTTAGAAGATTCAGGAGTTCAGCCTTCTTAGTTTTTTGTCGGAAATTTATTTTTGTATGTTATTGTATATGTTATAGATAAAAAATCTCTTTCATTCAATTTTTTTAAGCATGCTATATAGAAAAGCTATACCAGTTTTGATGAATACTTGAGGATCATTGAAATGGCAGATGATCGTATTTCATATTGCAATTGTCGTTTTTCTTAATTATGGTTCTACATCGCATCATTCATCTATGCTTGCATGCTATCTGCTATATTATGGTCTTGCTGAAACTATTTCAATATTATCTTTGCAATCATTGAAAAACATTAATAACAGCCAATGCGATAAACAAGAAATAATTAGCTCAAATAAATTTACTAGCTCAGATACAATGATCTGGCAGTGACCAATTCACTTGTACAGAACTAAACAATGATGTTCAATCATTTCAGGCATGAACATTCTAAATCTTTGGTTACTACTGATCAAACTAATGCTTGTTTAGTTTACATAAGAATGAGCATTTATGGACGAAGTATTCACTAGTGAAATTATTCATGAACACAATACTCCCTTCCTTCAGCATACACCATGCGCATGGTGTTCATGAATGTTCTAATTTAATAATACATTCAAGTTTTAAATGCTTAATTATATATATATAAAGATCTGCTTGTCTTGTTACAGCCATATTGTTCTTCACAGACCAAATAGAAATAGAAATACACTCATAATTTCAATTATTAGGAACTACTTGAAATCACTAATTATAAATGCAATTCTCCCTGGTCTAGCGGTTATGACAGCAGACTGTTACTCTGTGTATCGTGTGTTCGAATCACACGGGAGGAGTTTTTTTATAATCACTTTTTATAAATTTCTTTTATAAAATAAATGAAATTTTTAAAAAATGCCAAAAATTTTTAAAAAATTTTTGAAAAATTTTCTGAGAGAAATCATATAAATCATTTTCTGATAATATAATCAAACTTCAAGAATATTTTCAATCTTTATATACACATTTTCAAGACAATTTAATAAAGTTTGATCAGATTATTGAATTATAAAAACTTTTCGATTAACAAATTCAACGAAAAAATTATCATTATAAATCATTTCATTTTTATTTGAATATAAGATGATTCGTATTTACAATATGAGTAAAAGAATGCCAAAAACATCATTTGATGTCAGAGTTGATAGAAAGAGCATACTAGGAAATCCTTATAAAATGAGAACAGAGTCCGAGCGTGATTTGGTTTGCGACCAATATCAAACATATTTCAACAACATCGTTGAAAACAACAGAGAATGGCTGACTCAAAACGGCATTGATGACGATTATCGTCAAGAGTTCATGGATGAATTGAATCGCATCCGTACTATCTATCAAACGCATGGCGAATTAAATTTATTCTGCTGGTGCTACCCAAAACGTTGCCATTCATACACAATCAAAAACTACATATTGAACACATCACAAACAAGCAATTGAATTACGATAAAAGCAACGAAAGATGTAGAACTGATCAAGTTTCATCACACTCATTGAATAAATGTAATAACTGTAGCCATTCTTTTTTTATATTGTTTATTTTAGTATTCTTAAGTATTATAAATGGGATAAGCGTATCACAAATTTTTGAGAACAATAGTCAGTGTGATACTTTTCTTGCCAATCTTTTGCCCTTCAGATTGCTCATGAATTTATTTATGCTGAAACATAAACTAAATGGAGCTCTCATACTTTTTGCAAATGACTTTTTGACTGCTTACCGCAAATATAGGAAATTATTTTCACTCTCAACAAGAGAAATTATTGTCTCTTTGCATCAATGAATCTTTATCAAAAATTTTCTTTTTCTTGAAGAAGCTTAAATTCAAGTTTTGAAGATTCAAAAAATCAACTGAATATGATATAATGCTCACAAAATCTTTTATACATGTTATATGTGATGTAGAGTGATACAAAAAAGTGACATTATCTTATTTCTTATTCACGTTTGTGGGCAATCAAAACAATGGACAATCAAAAAGATTTCTATTTATGAATTGATTCATACATAGAAATCTGGAAATAGTAAGATTTTATACAAAATCCTTAGAGCTGGATATTTTTTATGGATTTTAATTCAAATGTTGAAATTTGCAATTTTTTTTATTTAAAATATTCTGATAAAATTCGATTTCCCATTTATTACCAACATATGTTGCATTATATTTTTTATTTCAGGTTTTAATCCTTTTTGGCTTGAATGGAAAATATTGAATTAAAATTTATTAAACTTTTTCAATTGGCAGAAAAAAAGATTTCAATACAAATTTTTATAATAATTCAGTCAAAATTTTGATCAATCATTCACAATTTTTAGTGAAAATTTTGATTTTGTCAAATCCATTTATGAATCAATTTGATGAGTGGCGCTCGATTTTTTTAGTAGTATTAAATGATAAAGATCAGCCAATTGAAGAATATTTAAAACAGTGCACTGAATTTATCAATCAAATTGTTGAAAATAATTTTCTTATTCCACCAAATATGGAAGCGACAGAATCTTTCTTGAAAGATACCTTAAAACAAGCTATTAGACAATTACTTAACTTTAATATTAATATTTCAACCAAAAATAAAGCAGATCCAATTATGACTTTTTTAAAATCGTGCTTACCACTATTTTCGTGGGCATATTTAAACGATCGATTTGATTTATTTCCAATTCTAAACGATATTATGAATCCAAATCAAAATTTATACAAAACAATTAAATCATCATTTTTAATCCAACCATCAAACAAAAATAAGAGAGGCAATAACAGATATGTATATGTTCCAACCAAATTTGATACAAGCAATCCAATTTTTACCTTATATGATTATTTCCTATCTCATGAATTATTTACAGTAATGACTATTAGATTTCATAATTATGAAATTCCAGCACAAGTTGAACACCTCAACTTCTTTTTATTCCATTTTAACAAAATGAGTGATAAAATAACGGAGAATGTTTATACATCATTATTGTATACTTTTTTCAATTTCTTTGACAACTACATGAAGGTCAACATAATGCCAACAAATGTCAAGTCAATTGACCAACGCGAAATACTATCCATTTTCTCCATCATCATAGAATTATCAAATAAGTATAGTTTCGAAGTGCCCGATTCTACACTTCAACTAATATTCAATTACGGAAACGATCAGATTCAAAACAAAAATCTCCACTCGCAGCTTTTCGGCACCTCCATTTTCAAACTTTTCACTGAGAGCACAGAGCGTCCATTGAACTTTTTCAAAGAGAGCATTGAAAAGACAAATTTTGTCACAGACTTCATGAGCCGCGATCTTCATCCAGATGTCATTTCGAACACAATTCCGATCCTGACGAAGATGTCCAGCATCAAGTGCATCAAACTTGACGATCTCAAGCAAATCTGCCAAGTTACGAAGAATGTCCACAATACGCAAAAAGAGAAGATGGTCAATTTGATGGTCAATTTATTATTAGAGCTACCGTTTGAAGAAGCCTCGAACTTTTTCAATTCAAATATGGACGAGTCGTTGGATTACCTGCAGTTCGTTGCGTCTTACTTGACCAAGAAGAAGGACATTCCAAACGACATGGCGCAGGACATCATAATGAAGATCATCACGACCGGCTCGGCTATCTACAACCGCAGCAAAGAAGAAGGAAACAGTGCCATCAAAAACCTCATACGACCAATTTACAACACAAAATACAAGAAGAGCTTTTTGAACTTCTGCATCTCTCAAATAATGAGCGAGTATAGCTCCTTCATTGTCGTCCTCTTGGGGAGCGTTGCCTGCAACTGCTCGGCGACAATTAGATCAGATTTCAACATTGATGTTTTTGACAAGCTTTGTTCGTATTTGACGGTTATTGATGTGTCAGAAAGGAAGATTGTTTATCCCTTAGTTTACCTCCTTTCAAAACCACTGCAGAAGAAGATTTCAGGCACTTTATTGAAGGCAATAATGAACGCCGACGATTCTTCAATTTGGTCTTTTCTGACATTCTTGATGACGCAGTCCGGATTGAATTCATTTGAGAAGGAGGCTGTGGCATTCATAGCGGACACAATACAAGGCATGAAGAAGATGCCAGAGTGCAAAGAGTTTGCAGAATTCTTCAAGATATTCATGCTTCTTTACAACATTGCCGATACAAAAATAACCGTCGAAAACGCAAGAAACCAAAATGTTATACCGGCCAAATATCTTGTCAAAAATCTTCCTTTGGATTTTGAGGACAAGCTGCTCGAGCAGATCTTGACATTTGAAAATAAAGATGTTTCATCAATCTCCTGCCAAACTCTGCTTAACATTTATTCCAAGTTGGAATACAAATCGAGTTTGTGCGACACTTTCGTGCATCTCCTTGAAATGGCGGAGAACGAAGAGCAAAGAACACGTGTCGTCAATCTAGTTTATGACTATTGTCTTAAAAATGACAACGAAAGAGTGTCGAACATAATAACGCACTCTTTTAATGACAAGTCATATTTTGCTGACTTAAAATCGCCGATAAATTTGAAGGTCAAATTTGAGCTTAACAGTCAAGAACCGCCAAATAAAGATATACTTCCAATTGCCATCAATAAAGACACACCTGTTCAAATTATCTTGACATTAGTGTCGCCAAACTTGCCTGACGGTCAATCAAAATACGTGGTCATGACAAACGGTGTTGAAAGGTCAAATTGCCAGGTCAATTATAACAACGGTTTTGTCAATAATAAAATTATTGACATTAAAAACAGAATCGGTACTGACAAGCGAACTTTGACACTCGGAAGTCCATCGGAGTACCTAAGAATACTTCGATTCAGTGAGAAGCTCATCGGCTATTTGAAAGACACTGAAAAAGTCGGTAAAAACGATAAACTTTTGAATACAATCTGGCGGTTATTGTGTTATTTGCCCAGTGATGAAAGCCTCCAGGAATTGTCATCAAAGCCTGACTTGTTTATACAAGAATTACAGCAGGCAACGAACAAGTATTACATCCGATATTTGTATCAAATATTATTGTGGAGATTACGATCACCGCGCTTTGAAAATTTGTATTCGAGTGTGATTCAACCTGTTTTAATTGACATTGTTAATCAAGACAGACTTGCAGCTTTTTGTGCCGACGAAATTGTCCGTTTATTAGAAAAGTATCCATTGCCAGAATTCATTGTTCCGGCCTTAAAAATCCTTGCAAACAAGGACATTAAAGAGCCGACAAAGCTCATCGCATCATCGATTATATCAAGATTTACATTTGACACTACGAAGATTGTTGAGAACAAGAGCAACGTTGAATTGATAATGAATTCCATTTCAATTATGTCACAAAAAGTTTGGAATGAATTCAAGAATTTTTTATTTAAAATTAAAAATGAAAAAGTTTTGTATTCAATGTCAATTAATGCATTGACAAAGAATCTATCTAACTCGCCTTTCTTTACTGAGATATTCTCTCTTTATTTGCCTAATTTTTTAGCTGAAGATTCGAATCCGCAGATTTCATTGTGTTTGAAACTGATGAAAGATTCACCTTCAATTGGCCTTGCTAATGCGTTGAACGACATCATCACACACAAAGTACAAAGCAAAAGCAAGACCAAAAACAGCGACAATGAATCCAAAATTGTCGATAAAATAACTTCTGTTATTGAATGTTGTAATGATTCTGAAATTTTGAGTAAGTTATTCAATTCTATTTCAAAGATCAATTCATATGATAGTTCAGCACGACCAAGCATTGACAACTTCATCAACAAAGTCAATGGAATCCATCTTGATCGTTGGAGTTTCACACCTGAAATTCATGTTGAAAAAT